AGTATGGAACTAGCAAGGATTGCTGTAAGGCTAAAAAGTAATATGTGTTCCTTATTCATTTGGTAAGTATTTATGGAGCATCTACTATGTGCCAGGCACTTGGGATGTATCTGCAAACAAAACAGGGGAAAAAAATCCTACCCTGGTGGCATGCACACTTTAGCAGGGAGGCACTTGCATAATAGCTTAGTTAATGCTCACAGTAACCCCACAGGTTAGGTACTATTATATGCATTTCACAGACGGGGGGGCGGGGTCTCAGAAGCAGTTTGTCCTCACCTCTCCTTCTTCCTTCTAGGAAATAGTGGGACCTGAATTAGATGTTAGAGTCCAGTCTGCAGAGTTGAACTTCCTGGTTTCAAATCCTGGTATTTCCATCTAATTGCTGTGGACAAATTAATCTGTCTGAGGCCCAATCTCCTCATGGGGAAAACGGGACCAGGAGACCCACTCTCCGGAGATCATTCCAGGGGAAATGACGAAGTCTAATATTTCGGAAGCAATTCTTGGATTCCCAGCACACCGAAGGCGCACAAAAACCCTATGAGGGACGTCCTATTTTTAGCATTTTTTTTAAACAGAGATGGAAACTGGAGCCCAGAGAAGGTAAGTAGTTTAACCAAAGGCGCACAGAGCATAAACCGCGTGATTCCATCGCCCGCGCGCTGAGCCGCATCGCGGCGCCAAGCGAAGCAAGGCTGAGTGAGCGCGGGGAACGTGGCGTGCGATTGCCTTTTCCCTGTGCCGCTGCGAGGCGGGCTGCCCCAGGCGGCGGACGGCACACCGCTCGGAAACTTTCTCAGCGCAGGACTGCGAGCTGGAGCCGCTGTCTCGATCCCGCCGCCCCCGGGTAGTTCTCCCCTCAGTTCTCCTTCCCCACTCCAGCTCGCTCTCCGAGCCCCGCCACGACTGCCACCCCAGGCCACCCCGCTGCAGCCGCGCGTTGGGGACGTACCCCGCCGGGGCTCATCGATCCCCTCTCGGAGCCGGGGAAGGGGCTCGTCCACGCCGCCCGGACTCGGCGGATACCTTGGAAGGCAGTTCCAGCGCGGGTCCCGCGTCCTGGCGAGTCCGCCTCTCCCCGCACCCGCGCTCCGGCTGCTGCCACGTCTGCTCGCCCGCGGGGCGCGTCAGCGACAGGGACCCGGGCACCCGCGGCGCACTTCCTGCCTGGAGGGCTGATCACTTTCTTCGTGGAATCAAGCCAGGTTCCTGCGAGAGTTGGGCTAGTACAGCTGTTGGCATCCGAGACCTCTATTCATTGCCTCGAGTCTGCATTCATTCTTTCCTTCCACTGAGCACACCTTACCGAGGGCGCCCACCAGATGCCGCGCGCCGGCTTGGATGCTGCGGGCACGCAGGGGATCCGAGGGCGCACGGGGTAGCGCCACGCTCTGCAAGACGTTGGCCACTAGCAACATGTTATTGAGCACTTGAAATTGTGGCTCCAGAGACAGAAATGTTTTTAAGCCGTAGGAATATTATTATATTAAAAAAAACCTCATTAACAAGTGTTAAATTGGATGTTAAATTTATAATATTTTGGATATAGTTTTTTAAATGAAATTATTATTAAAGTTAATTTCACCTGTTTCTCCTTTTCTAAAACACAGCTACAAGAAAATGTTAAATTATGTGTCTCCTAATACATTTCTATTGGATAGTGCTTATTTATCATGGGCAGGACCCAATAGGGTGTTCCCAAATACCTCTCTTAGTTCTCCCTTCTAGAATTTATTCAGCCCTTTCTTATTTCCTTCAGGAAACATTTGGAGAGAAACCAAATGTACCAGGCATGACACTTGTGTTGGTTCACAAACTCAGGAGCTCGCCGGGTGAAATCTAAAACTGGGG